AGACAAGGTGGACAGGGGTCAGGCAGGGCCATGCTGTCCCCAGCAAAGAAACAGCCTCACAGCACCTGCACAAGGCGAGTGGGGCAGGGATGGTGACAAAGACTGGGGACAGTCACAGCCCCGGATCACTGGGCATGTCCAAGGCGACAAGGCTGGGATGAGGTTGAGCCAGGAAAATGTAGCTAGATGAGTCAGAGATGCGCAAGCACAGCAGCTAAGGTAAAGCCTGAGCCTAAACACAACCTCCATGCCAAGAGGTTAAAATCCACAGATGGAGGGCAAGATATTGAGAAGTCCTCCAAAAAGTCACCTTCAATCCTGGCAAAGGGAAAGGAAGAAAGAAGGTCCTAGCAACAAGAAACATTATTGGATGCAGAAGTACAAGCAGAACTGCAATGAAATCTGCCTGGACACAGTCAACGTGACGAATAAAGCAGTTTTCCTTTGCATTGCCAGCCCAGGGTCGGGTTTTCCATCGCGTGGAACCGGCGCCCAGAACCTCCCTTCCAAATGCCGGTCTTTGTTCAGGAAATCCGTTCTTCCTAAGATTGGAAAGCGCACGAAAAGTTAGGAGGGGGGCAGGGTGACCGAATACCTCTGTGGGCTGTTCCTGCAGTAAAGACAGTGCTTTGCAAGAACAAAAGGGTGTTAAACTCCCTGTCTTCAGATGTGCAAATTTTTTTCTTTCTCTTAGATATGTTCCCATTTCCTTAGAGATAGCGTTGGTAGATCCACCCCGGGTAATGAACTCAGCTTACCTGTTTTACTCGTTTTCAGCTCTCCATACAATTTAGTTCGTGTCTAGAAAGATATCAAACTCTGTGGCTCATATATTTTTGTTTCCTTACGCTCGTGGCTGCCGGGCGAAGTTTCATAAGCAACTTCCAAAGGAAAACTGATTTATACTGCCTGGGATTTTTGTTTGTTTGTTTTTAACCGCACTTTCTAATGCTGATTCCAGCTGTTTCTCATCATCTCTTTCCATGGCACTTAGCTTTCCCTCCCAGGCAATATGCAATACACACCGGTGTCTGTTAAGGAGAAGGCTTTAGCGGGCAACAAATGGCAGAGAGGTGACACGTCTGCAAAAATCCAACGAGAACAGGGTTTTAATTCAGATTCTCTTCATCTCAATGAAAAGGAAAAAAAAGGGATCCTGGAACCATGCGACTTTCTAAGGGCACAGATCGCATGCAAGTGAAAGTGTGAAGTTGTTCGGTAAAATATTTGTTGACGTCGGTGACGATCGCTATCATTCTGAGGAGAGAAGGCGTTTCATCCCACCACTGCGAAGAGGATCTTTATCTCCACCTAGTTGTTGTTAACTATTCCGCTCTGAAGGGACCGTATGAAGCTGTTCTTGGACAGCTAAGGGTAATACAGAAAATCAATTAGTGATAACTAACGTGTAGCTCTTAATTAGGCGAAGGGAGGCTTCACTGCCCAATCTACGCACGTGAGCAAGTGCTGCTTCTGGAAGCGGGGGCGGCTCCTCCCGGACAGTCCGGCCCTGGTGCCGGCTGGGAGGGGGGTTTGGGCGGCGGAGGGGCACTGTGCCGACCCGCTGCCAGCGCCGACCCCCCCGCGCCGCGAGGGGCCAAGGGAACCCGCGG